CAGCTTTAGAAATGTCTGGACTGTCATGTGGTTGGAACAGAGTAGAGTCCTGCAACATCATCCAGCTGAGCACACATCTTGGTGTGACTGGAGGGTGGTGAGGGTATGTAAACAACTGAAAATGTTTAGTTGTAATTTACAAATATTAAATTACAACATGCAGGTTTATTTTAGAGGCACAGAAGTTAGATGTTTACAATTATGCATTGAAATCTTTACCGTTTTGATTACTTGTTTTTGACTAAATTGGGACTTCACATTTGGGCATTCAATAGATTTGTAGAAAGTCAGGTTCACCAGACATGATGAATATGATTTTGTCTACTCAGCCTCAAAAGTAAAGTCCAATATTCATATTTTAATGTTGCTTAGAAAATGAGATGATGTGCTATGCTAGGCCAGATTTGGTTGTATCAAATAACAAGCTGGACAAATTTCCTGTAATTTTTTTGGTTCTTTGAGTATACATAGAATAGCAGCATGAAAATAAAATTAATATTTTTTAAAGACCGAATAAGGTAATAACTACAGAGAAAAAAACCCCAAAATATAACCAGTCAATCCCTATGTTGGTTGCATGATAGCTTATATTTGGGAAATTGAACCAGTGAACTAGCAGGTACAGATAATAAAACAAGTCTAAACCATCATTTTTATTTAATAGGTCTGGGCAGTGGTCCCTGGAACTCCAGGAATTTAATATAAAAGGTTCGTAATGAAAAAATGTTAGTACACATCATAAATCTGTGGCTGTCTGAGTTAGATGTTGTATAGATGCTGGTTATGTTTTCCTTTGCTGAGTAAGAACTGATTGCCCTTACCTGTAGCTCATTATAGCAGTAGTCTCTTAGTTTTTATGTCTGCAAGGGAGAGGGACTGTGGCCATGCCTTTAATCTTAAACTAACTCATTGTGACCTTCCAGGTCCTGCATAGTTGATTCTGGCGTCAGCAAGTCACTGTCTCCTGCCTTATTGCACATTTGAGACCTGCATCTCTGTTCAGTAATGATTTGGTTTCAAAGCATATTATAATGCTTTTAAATTAGACTGTCAATTTGCTTTCTGTGTGCCTGCTGGTAATAGTAAAGATTATAATGTAGGATTATTTAGCACTAGTATGTGGTATCTGTCACTACTGACCTCACATTTCTTTCTGATTGCCTATACTGGTGGCACCAGGCATGACAATTTTCCTTTCTAGGTGCTGTATCTTTATATTTCATCTGTAGTCTGCCTTTCATCAATGACTACTACAGTGGTAGCAACACATGGTGTAGGAGACATCTTCTTTGCTGTTTCATGACACTGGTTAGATTTACTTTCTTTTTCCTTTTCTACCAAGTTGTCATGGGCTTTTTGTGAGCTCTGCTGAGCTCTTGGACCTTGGTTTTGCAAAACTCTTCAGCAAATGCTCACTGCTGTGCAGGCACCAGGCCGGCACCAGGTGCTTTGGCCCCAGCAAAGCCAAATCATAAGGCTGATGACATTCTGTGGCTTTTGTCTAGGTTTTCACTGGTAAATATGATTGAAAAACTCTTATCTTTATTGTCTGCTTTAGATCTCATTATGTATTGTGTTTGTTTGAATCTCAGATGACTCTTAGTTCTAACAACTGATACAGGAGAGACAGCCCACCATGTAATACTCTTTTCCCTGGCTGGACTGGCAGGCTGACATGATTCACTCTGCATAATCTGAGGCAAGAGCAGCAGCACAGTTAGATGCAATGTGAAACTTTCTCAAAAGAGGCACCTAACAGAGTTTGGTAGATGACAAGTTGACCATGAGCCAGCAGTGTGCTCTTGCAGCTAGGAGGGTCAGTGGTCTCCTGGGGTGCCTCAGGAAGAGTGTGGCCAGCAGGTCGAGGGAGGTGATGCTGCCCCTCACTTGGCCCTAGTGAGGACACTTCTGGAGTGCTGTGTCCAGTTCTGGGTTCCTCAGTACAAGAACAACAAGGACCTACTGGAGAAGGTCCAGTGAAGGGCCACAAAAATGATGAGGAGTCTGGAGCATCTCTCTTATGAGAAGAGACTGCAGGAGCTGGGCCTGATTAGTCTGGAGAAGACTGAGAGGGGATCTCATCACTGCATGTAAATATCTCAAAAGTTGGTGCCGAGGGGATGTTGCTAGACTCTTTTCGGTGGTGCCCAGTGACAGAACGAGGAGTAATGACCATAAACTAAAACACAAGAAAGAGGCTGCCCAGGAAGGTTGTGGAGTCTCCCTGTCTGGAGACATTCCAAACCCACCTGAGTGCATTCCTGTATAACCTGCTCTAGGTGATCCTGCCTTGGCAGAGATGTTGGACTAGGGGATCTCCAGAGGTCCCTTCCAACCCTAACTGTTTTGTGATTCTGTGATATAATTTCCTTATTGAAGTAAATGCTGTCTTTGGTTCTGGTAAATGTGGTGAGCAGAGGTGAAATCCTGTTTAGAAGAAGACAATTTGTGAATGCCATGTTGGATTGCAGGCCAACCCTGCTATAGGCCAGGTCCAGTAGCAATAGTCTGTCCCATGCCACTTCACCCAGTTTGTTGCTTTCTTCTCTCATATCCCTGTTTGCCTTAATGCTTCATTTATATACCTTCCCATCTTCCCTAAATGTCTTCTGCCTCTCCAGTTGATCTTTCCTGGTCATGCTAAATACGTAATTGTAATTACAATGTCATTGAAGTTTGAGCCGCAATACAGACAGAGCAATGACTCTGTAATTCTTGCTCAAGGAATGTAGGTTTGAGCCTTAAAGTTCTGCACATTCAGGGAGAAGGTTGTTTCAGTGGTAATAACTCGGTATTTCTGAACTATTCAACTTGGTTCCTAAAAAGCAGTTTTGGCAAGCTGCTTTCAGAACGTTTTGATTCTATTCACCGTAGCCATTATACATGCTAAAATGTTGATAAAATGATATTGCAAACAACAAAAAAATTCTGAACATGGGGAAAAATGACAATGTAATCAAAACAATTTGGAAAAAACCCACACCAACGTATTCACGTACAGTGCTTTTGACTTGGGAGCTGCCGGACTAATGGATATAAATAATGCAATGCTTTTCCCATGAGGGTATTGTAGAGCTTAATTGGTTAATGGCTGAAAAGCACTTTGAAATCCAATGTAGAGATATGGTTTGGAAGAGCAGAGTGCTGCTTAATGAAAGTCTAAATGCTTCTGCATAACACTGTTCTGGATATATGTCAGTGTGTCCAATTGGTGTCAGTGGTGATTGAATCCACGAATCACATTGTTGGACATATTTAACATTTGGCAAAGTGACTATGGCTATGTTTTGGTAAACCATCATACATTATTACTTTGCTTTATTTGCTAATAGGACCATCTTCTTTTTAACGAAAATTTTAGATTACTTTTTAATATACGATGATGCTTTGCATGCTTTTCAAATTTGCTTACAGTAAAAATTAGTGATGTCCCTTTAAAAACTAACCCTTCAAATTTATTATATAAAGAATGGTATATAAAATTATAGTATGCCTGGCCCTAAAACATACTTATATTAAAATTATATGAAAATTTATGAATAAATATAAAACATGGAGTCTGATGAAAACTTTTTTAATCCTTTTGTTTTGCAAGTTCCTGTTATGAAGAAATGAGACTTGGAAACTCAGAGAACTGATTTAGATCTTTAGTCTGTTTAGGGAGTGTAGATTTTAACATGTGATTTGACAGAGTGGTCAAATTTCGCCTTTGTTTTTCTTCACTGTGATTTGTGAGGAAACCTTAAGAAGAGTGTATGTGTTTGGTCTTGTGTATCTTTGTTGGTTTTGGTTTATTTGATTTATTGGAATTGGTGTTTTTTTTCATTTGTTTATGAGAATTTTCAATAATTAAGTGGCTTCTGTGTTGCCACCTTTTAGCTCCCATATTACATGGTAAGCAATTTATTTGCAAAGAACATCACTAGAATAAACGTCTTGAATGAATCAAGATTTGAAAACATGAATTCTAGACTTAGAGCAGCTCACAGTCTCTTTCAGAAGTTAGTATCTGTTATTACTAATTCTGAATCCGATGAATTTTTATATTTAAATATTCCCATTCATTAACTTACTGTTTCCTTCCAAAGCTTATGAGTATGGACAAGCAAATGAAAGTGATTTTTTTTTTTCCTTCCCCTTTTCTCTTTTAAGTGCTTAGTTTGTACTGCCCTAGCTTGGCATCTTATTATTAGCCTCTTTGTGTGGCTGCCAAGGTTTATTGCATAATTTTCTTGACAAATGGCTTAGTCATTAATATTTCAGCTCTGTTCCTACCAGCCTCAGAGAAGTGGTATGCCCCAGGCAGGTAAATGTAGTGCCTTCCTTAGAAACCTTCTAATCTTTTCCTTAAATGCTTTGTCAGAGCCCATAACAGATAAATGAAGATGCAGTTCAAACTAGGGATGACTTATTTGTACACACATGACCATACATTTTCTAACTAGGAGGTCTTGGACTGCAGTGGAGTTTCCACTGCGAGCATCTGCGTATTCTATTCTTTATCCCTACTAAAATCTGTGAGACTTATTGATTCTGAAGTAAAATCCGTAGAGATATTTGTGTCTGTCTTTCTTTTTTTGTTGAAATATGCTGTTGAAAAATGCATAGTCCTGATAAAGGCTCTGTCTGTTCACACTTTCATTATTTCTATAACAGAGACACACCAAGGAATGATAGTCAAGCTGAGTCAGAGTTTGAGTTGAGATCAAGTTCACATCACAGCTAGGTCTGAGGTGTGGAACTCTGGTGATATTTTGGCTCAAGATCATAGCAAATTTGTGAAACTGATCTCTTTAAAGGTTGATGTGACAGAAAATTGATGTGACAGAAAACTTAGAATACTCCTGCTGCTATTTAGGGTTGAAACATCATAAAAAAGGCTTGTTCAATTTAAATATTGATTGCATACATGTTACAACCATGAAATAACTCCCTGATCTAAAATATTAATTATATTTTTTATTTCATAATAATACTTAAATTATTCTTTTAAACTACAGTGTGTTGGCTAAGGTATTACTAAGGAGGGCATCTGGAGATCTGTGGTAAGTCATGGATTTCCCTAGTTCTCCTGAAGAACGGACGGAGAATCATTACTGCAGGGAAACAGCAGGTAAAGCTGAAGACTTTTTCTCGTTTGTGGATGAACTGAGTGATTCATGTTAGCTGCCTCCTCTGGCACGACGCGTCTCAATCATTCTGTTTTCTTACTATTGAGTGGACTGGGTTTGTTTCTGAGGCATCAGAAACTTGGGTTGTTGGGCATGTTGAATATTTTGCAGCTGAAGTTTAAATGTAGCCCATAGGGTAGCATGTGCATTGTATCTGGGTGTGTAAGATGTTGCTGAGTTTCTTTCTACCGTTTCCTTGGAGGAGGCAGGCAATCATTATTTGATTGGTGCATAACACCTTCTGAGTTGAAGGATATCTTCTTTGTCTGCCACAGGCACCTCCAAAGGGCTGGGCTGCTGTTGCCATTGCTGGGAAGGATCCAGCCCTTCTGGTGGCTGTGCTTGAGTGGTTGAGCCATTCTGCCTGCAATTGTAGAACTAAAGCATATACTTATAGCTTTATACTTTTCTGCAGTGTATTGCAGTGTGTTGCTTCACCCCACAGAGATCACCAACACGTGGTAACACACCCAGAGGTGACTTTCTCTGTGTGAGAAGCAGGGCTGAGGTTCAGGAGGTTCTGCTGTTTAAGGGATGCAGTGTGCACCACACATATGGCCCCCCAGACTGCCTAGTTTTTGTTTTATGGTGTAGTATTTTGCATTACCATAATAGAAATTATTAAGGCTTGAAATTAATTACTTAAACTTCCTTGACTGTCCTTTGCACTGTTACTGAGTCTACAGATCCAATTCTTGGTATTTAATAACTGACTTCATAAAAGTTATTGCTCTCTCCTCTTGTTAAGGCAGGATAAGGTCTCTATTGTTCAATTATGCCCAAATAGTGTAGTTAATCCATGAGAACTAAGAAAGTACACCAGTACACATAAATACAGCTAATATTTAATTTCTAAACAAATTTATTTGTACTCATATGAAATTCTGTAGGAGTAAAATTCTTGTTGGAATATACCTCTGTAGAAAAATACAGATAATTGAGTTGCAGATATTGAAGATAAAAAGCAGACAGCAGAGGTAGTGGTCAAGTCTTGACTACAGTGAGGATTTTATAGGTATTTGAAAGTCTGTCCCTTTCATCTGACAGTTATTTACAATATGTCTTCTAACGCAGAAAGCTGTTTGGCAACATTTTCAAGGTATTGGAAAAAGAATATTCCCTCAGCAGCCAAAGGTAGTGTTTTTTCAGATTGCATTCCATGAGAAATGGATATATTTAAAAGCAGGAGACACATTTGAGAATATTTAAGAATGATTTGTGCATTGCCTTTTCACAGTCTGTAATTTGCAATATAATATATTCAAAATGTGTTTGGATAATGAGGATTTTCCCTTAAAATATGGAACCGACTATTAGCTGTTTTGTGTCCTTGTGGAGAAAGGGGAGAACACAGGTATGTCAGCAGGAGCTCAGGTTCACAGCTGCTTTATTTTCAGTAGTATTGTGTACCTTAGTCATAGATGGCACACTATTGAAAGCTATCACTAAAGGGCCTTATTGCGATTTCTTCAGTAAATGACAGAGTCTGTTTTAATTTGTGCAAAAATAAATCAAGAAATAATTGATGTATAAATGAGAGAAAACCAGATATTGTTTCTGAGCAGGGGTGATTTTCCTTAATTTAATCTACTGTCATGCATATATATAATATTTTTTTCAACGATAATGAAATCATTGAATTTCCTCTGAATTTGCTTGATTTGCTTTTATTCATCTGGTTTTTTTCAGTCTAACTGCAAATAGTATGATTAGACGGTTCACCTTAAACTTCTGAATTTTGCATATTAGGGAGTTTGGTGTCGTTCCATCCCCCCAGACATCTGAATTTGTTAACTTCTATTGTCAATTATGCTGTATACTTTTCTCTTTTGAAAAATTGTATACTGTCTGACTACCAATTTGATGTACCTGATTAGCTTGCTGATCACAAATTCCAGTGTGTGGATATTCTACTTCTGAACTGCTTAAACCACATGCACTGCAGGTTGTCTTGAAACCTGGTTATGGCAGTCTTTGAAACAGTCTAATACCAGCTTGACAGCACAACTACAGAGTTTGCAAGTGTTTTGGCTACTGAAATGCATTTTTCTTGTCTTGAATCATATATCGGGAAGCATTATCCTTTTAGTAAGTGGGAAACTTATGAATAAATCTGAACAATCCTGGAGTGACACTGTTTATCAGGGGAACTAGAGCCTTTGGGAGACCGCATGGGGAACTGAAACTTGTTGCAGTGGATGATATTTGTCATCATATGCAATATCCAACCTGAAACTGAATGGTGAGTGGAATCAAGGGATGACAAAAAGTTTAAAAACTGGTGCTTGCCTAGATGTGTGTTCCTTTCTCCAAAAACTTGCTGCTCACTATGACTGACTTAGCCAATCTTGCAGTCCTAAAGAATGGTAAAGGTGTTTGAAGGTGGGCCTCAGAAGTAAGGACCACATTTTCTGTGCTTGCCTTCACGTGCTCATGTATGTAAGACAGGCCATGAAATGCTGGCTTTTGTTCAGGCAATAGGCATCTTCTGGATTAGTGTAAAAGGAGCATGGTTGCTAATACCTTTTATTTCATATTTAAGAAGTTCTTATATGTAGCACTCAGAGAAAGCAGGGTCATGCCTTATCCCAGAAAGGTTTTTTTAGTTTTCTTTCTCGATATTGCAAGCCGCAAAATGTTGCCGAAGGTGACATCATGATTAATGTATCACCATTATAGTGCAGTCAGCCAGCCAACTTATGAAACATTTTTGCTTCAGTTAAGAGAAATAACAAAATAAAAAAAGTAAGTTATTCTCTATGTTTCATGGAACTTGCTGACAGATTATTAACTAGATGAGCTCCAAGTATATGAAAAAATTAAGAGCCAAATAGTTGAAGGCTATGTTATCTTGCCAATGCTTGGTAGTGCTTGCAGCATTTTATTCGGTTGGTTGTTCAGCCATCATCAGGGGCATCTAATAATGTTCTGCCCTGGGAAGGTCAGGTTCTACAATGCATCCATTCTAAGTTAACTGTAAGACTATTTCAGAGGTCTGTGTATGTTACATAAATTCAGCATGCTTGGTAACACTGAAAGTCTGTTCTAGTGTGCAACAGTATATCAGCATTTTAAAATGAGCAAGAAAAAAATCTGAGCTTGTTATTAGTATTGCATGCAAAATAATTTATGTTATATCCTATGCTATATAGATATGGTCATGGCAATACAATGATATTTGCTGCTGTAAGCCTGCATAGTTTTCAAAACTAAAATTCAATGCTTAGCTAAATTGCTAAGCAGACTGGTAAATGTCCAATTTTAGCAGCCTAACATATGTTTATAGTTTTTGTTTTAACATATGCTATGTTGGTTGAACTCCCCTCCCCACACATACGGTAGATAAAAGCTGTCACATCACAAAATGGTGGCAGCCCAACTTTTCTAACATTTTCCATGGCACTTCAGAGTCTTGCATTAATTAGCTATTCTTGGATAGGAGACAGACTCTCATCTTCATAGAATTTTGGTTTCAAACCCGTCATGTACTTGAGTTTATGTATGCAGTAGCCCATCTGTGTTTCTGCAGCCATAAGCTGTAAAAAGCACAGGGCATAGAGAAAAACAGTCAGCAAGAGTGAGGCTGCCCTTGGCTCATGGACAATAATACCTAGCAAATGACCATGAAAGCAGCCCCATTTGGTTCACTGTGCCTCTAGTTTGCTCAAACAGGAACATTCTTTCTCTTCCACTTCTCTGTGAGAGGTGAGTGAATAAAACAACGCTGGTGCACAGACCTTATTCTTTTCATTGTGAGCTGCTAAACTACCCCTCTTTTGTCCTCCTTTTTCAAGACAATTTCACCAAGTCTATGATTCTTTCCTAAACTTCAGTTGAGTAGAGGAGAATTGTGACAAATACCACTGCAACTGTGATAATGCTGTCTTAATCCTTGCTGCAGTGTGACATGGAAACCTGGATTTAAACATGAAAGGACATACTGTAACAGTACAGCAGTATGATCCCTTATCACATCAAACTGCCTTTTGCATGTGCTCCAAAATCATGATATTTTTTGTCTGATGTACTCTGTGTGCCATTTCCCTGTTGTTAAGTTCTTGACTGTGGTGTGCTTCAGCATGTGTACTGTCTGCTGAGCTGCTGCATGGGGGTGGTTGGTTTTCTGTGGGGGATGAAGGAACCTTGTCCATCAAGTGAAACTGCTGTAGATATGTCACAGGGTCTGTGGTAGAGGACTGACATTGGCAAGTGCGGTCACATCTGTGCTTGGTCTATGCACAGCATGGACAGAGTTGTTCTGATTCCTTCATCCCTGGGTGGCATGGGTGCTACCTCCTGCCCTCTGGTCTGCCTTGAAGCTGCTCTAAAGCTTATACCCATGTGCAGGCATAGTTCCAAATGTATTGCCACAACATAATGTATGATATCATCCCTCTCAAAGCTCTGAGTTCCTGCACTTGTATTACACATCTCGGTATGGAGATTGAGGGACTTGAGGCCCATGGAGCTTCAGATGAGCTGCTGAGGGACCCTGGAATGTGTTGGTGGCAGTGTCTGGGTAAGTATCTGTGTAATAGGAGATCATGGGCTTGGTGCTTGCATGTCCACCTGCAGTGCTTTGAGAAGCCCCACCAGGAGCTGCTGGCAGGACAGCCTGCTTCCAAAGCCCTGCCTCAGCTCCCAGCTGTGAGTTGGAGCCACTGTCAGGCTCCGAATGCATGACCCACTGGTAATGCTGGTGGAGTGCTTTACCATCCTTGGATTGTAGATGCCAGTGGTGGTTGTTCAATGTTTATTTCTCGTTTATGTACTTGTTTTCAGCTACAGGACCTGCAGCTGCTGTTTGGCTCGCTGTGCTTGTTAGCTGGCTGGCAGTCCTTTCTGTGGGATTCAGGTTTTGTCAGTGTGCACAGAAACCAGTTTTGTTTCACTGCCAAATAATAAGCATGGTGGAAATAAAGAAAGAAAATTATAAATTTAAACTGGTTTTTTGTAGATGTTTAGGTAACTGTAGACAGAAATAAATAGACTTAAATAACTGTCTATTTGTTATTAAGTGAACATAAGTAATTAATGTGTTCTTAACTCTGGGTATGTATTGGTATGAGAAAGATAAAAAGAGGTCTTTATTTTCCTGTATTGGTCTCCACCTTGGTAAATATTATTTTGATTTGAATATTTTGTGTACGGTGTACAGAGTGTAAACATGTTTTATTTTCTTTCTTCTCTGTGGCTTCTCTCCCCAAATGTAAGTTATGAGTTGGACTAGTCCAATACCGTCTTTCTGTAAAAAGTCCTGGAAAAAGAATACATGGGTCTGTGGTGAGAGAGGAAAGCAGCAGAGTGTTGGTGAAGGACTTCAGTGTTGCTGGTGCTCTCTATGATACCATGTCAGTGACTCCTTTAGTGCATGTTTGCTGTTGTTTGCAGTACTTGGACGTTGGATAACTCATCAGAAAACATTGGATAACTGTAACTTTTTTTCCTTACTGCTCACAGTAGATTTTGCTTCAGATTGGAATAATAGTACAGGTAATAATGCCATTTAACTATCTAAGGCACAAGCATAATGTTAGGATGAAAACTCTGATACAACTTCTTCTGTAGGTTTTTCTTCCGTACAGGTTTGTGAGGAGTATGTTTCACTTGCTCAGAAAAATTAGTGTTTCTGAACTATCAGGAACTGATACCAAAATGTTGCTCATTACAAATACTGAAATATCAGATAGGCCCTTAGAGATGTATACATTAGAGTCTCCCTGATAAATAATGAGTCTTAAAATAAACAGACGAACAAATAAAAATCCCCCCTCCCCAACACTTATGGATCACGTTCTAATTTCTCTTTCCATAGATTTATAATCATGAGAACTCTTTCTGTGAAAGTTCAACTTCTCATATGGTTGTCTGATTCTCAGAGGAATGATACTTAGGAAACCAGCAAACATCACGAGAATTACAATAAAGTCAAGAGAGTTTTTTGTACATTACAGTTATGTGTAAGTTTTGAATTGAATTTTTTAGAAAAATAAATGTATGGGCAGATGGTGATATTTACTTAAGGGAAGCTGAATTCATTATCTGATTAGAACTGGATATTTCAAGCAGCTGTTTAAAAATGAGAATTTTCTTTCCATGAAGGAGAACGTATGTTTTGGAAAAATGGAGCCTCTTCTCAGAATGTAAGACTGTCCCTTGTTTAGCCTGTGTCAGAGGAGTTTCTGTGTCTGTGTGAATTCATTTATGGGTGAACTTTCTCAGTAATGGTCAATAACTAATTTGGTGAAATAGTTTTGTAAACTCTTAACTGCCCCCCCTGCTAAAGGCAGTCCTTCTTAAAGGTTTCAAAACTAGATAAAAGTTGCAGCTACTCTTTACTTCTGAAGATACTTGACCAGAAAAAGGATTAAACCAAGTATTATGCTGCCTGCCAAATTTAATTTCTGTCTACCTGACTTGCCTTTATTTTAATTGGTTGAAATACAATTACTGCATGAAACAGACTCATAGAGAACATCTAGGCATAAGACAGAAGAAAGGAGGCCAAATGTGAACATACCCATTGTCTTTTAGAGATTTGGGTTTTTTTGACTCTATATTCTGCTATGTGTTTATTCTATTTGCATACATATTTTAAAGTGCGACAATATGAAAAATAATCTTAGCTTGCTTGTTCTTTATTTACATTTGTTTCTCTTATGTTCCTGTGGAAAGTAAGCCAGATTGTAATCCTGGCATAAAGATGGAAAGGAATCTCTTGAAAAGTGTGCTGTATTCATTGTTAATGTCTTGTCTTCCCCCAGTTCTTTAAGATGACTTTCACAGAAAACTCTCACCCAGGAAACCTCTGGCCCTCTATTTCTTAGTTCATAGGGAAATACAAGCCAGTTTGTTTGGAGCAGATGTCTACCCAGTGACTTAACTTCTAATACCTCTGTTTTCCCATTCGGTAATAAGCAAATTGTAATGCTTTAATTATTTTACTGAAATTTATGCTAATATTTCTGAAGCTCAACTATAGATTTTCAAGAAATGTCTCTCTTTGAATGCTGCAGAGTAATGCAGCTGTGTATGCATGAAACACAAAGCCCATTTGTAAACAGGGAGGATGTGTAAAGATGGCCCTTTGATAGGAAATGAGTACTTCAGTCCAGACTACTTTAAGAATCTCATCACCTCATTTGCCTTCCTGATATCTGACAACCTTGTCTGCCCAGTACAGCAGTGGAAGCTGTGAAAATAGCCTTCCTGGGAACATGTGGAAAAAGGGATTTTGTGCTTGCCCCAAAATGCTAAAACTGATTCTGACTATATGGGGCCTTTATTGTGAATCTTGTGCAATACTCATATGTGAACTTAACGTTCTGTTTATATATAAATAAATGGCTTGTGGTCTAACCATCTGTTTGTTTGTTTTTTTTTCAAAGTGGTTCAGTAGTTTGAAAGGTTAAACTGGTTTCGTTTGGTGTTGAGTAAGAATTAGTGGTGATTGCAGTGTGTGCCACATACATCAGGTTGATCTGAAACGTGTTCTGCAGCTTCTGCTAATGGGGGGAGGTGATACAACAAGAAGTTAATGCTTGGGGTTTTATTATAAGCAAGTTCTGCCTGCCAAAGGCCACTGTTAAATTTGAGTTTCTTGGAAGTAATGTTTGGTTATTGCCTCATATTTTATAACTGGATGAAAAATACTGTTTGAAAGAAGGTCTGATGTTTATTCAGCTGTGAAGAGCATTTTCTAGAACAGGGCTAAAGATAGTTGTGGAGTCATTAATACTGATGCGGTGATACAGAAGCCCGATAATTGAATAAGATATCCTAGCTGAAATTTGATCACAAGGGTATTTTCCCTCCTCTGAAGTTAAAACAGTGGTTTATAACAGAAACTTGGTCATACTAATCTAGCAGACATTTGGATTCATGTATACCTGAGATACTAGCAATTCCTACAGCAAGATTGCTGTTCCTAACTCAATTTTTTTTAATTCTTTTTTTACTTCTCTAGATTATAAAAAAGTTCACAATGGCAATGCTGTGGAAGTTCATGAGAGTAGCTAAATATTCTAAAACAGCTTTATCACCAAAAGTAAAGGTAAGAGGAATTCCCACCCATTCAAGGCATTCTTCATCCAAGTCTGTACCTTCAGATTTTGCTGCCAGTGCACCATGCTCAAATACTGTGGAACTGCTTGGTAAAACTTATCCTCAGGATGACTACAGCAATGTCACAGAGAAGATTCTTTCCAAGGTGGGAAAGAACTTGCACAACAGAAAACATCACCCACTGTGGCTAATCAAGGAGCAGGTGAAGGACCACTTCTACAAACACTATATAGGACGCTGTGGGACTCCACTCTTTTCTGTTTATGATGGTCTTTCTCCAGTGGTTACAGTACAGCAGAATTTTGATAGTTTACTTATCCCTCAAAACCATGCCAGCAGAAGGAAAGAGGATAACTATTACTTGAATCGTGACCACATGCTAAGAGCACATACATCAGCTCATCAGTGGGACTTGATACACTCTGGCCTAGATGCCTTTCTGGCAGTGGGAGATGTCTACCGCCGAGATACAATCGATAACACCCACTACCCAGTCTTCCATCAGATGGAAGGAGTTCGGCTCTTCTCCTGTCATGAGGTAAGAATGCTCTAGTTGGGGTGACAGAGACTTTGGATAAGTTGTTCAGTTGCACAATTCAATTCTATTTCTGTCACAGCTCTCTTCTGGTGAGATCACTTTACCAAAAACCTGTCAAATTATACTTGAAGGACTCATGGATGTGAGTTGTTACAGCTACATCCAACGTGCAATTTTTATTGTTGTCTTTTTTCTTCTTTTAATAGCACTGACTGTAAATGAATGTCATTTTTTAAGGTAATTTTCCATTTTTCAGCTCATCCTAAAGCTGCATTGAAGGATTCTGTTGTAGCCAATCCTTATGTGTGTGTGATGCATACACAGTAAACTCATTAGAGTCCAGAAGCATCAGCTAAAGAGCTCTAGGTAGATGTCCAAGATTCTTAAGTTTATATATTTTGTTTGCACAGCTTGCATGTTCTGCAAATGCCTGGGTGTCATTAAGTACTCTGCTGCATCATTGATCAGTGGTAAATACAAGCCAGTTTGTTTTCCAAATAGTAATTGATTTGTATAATTTGTGTACGCTTGTAGCAATACTGCCAAATTCACATTTCTATAACTAAAACTAGCTTATTCTAATAATACTGAGATGTAGACCGTTCTTAATGTGGTTGCCAATGGATGACAGAAGCTTGGCAGGGAAGCCTGATGGGTTTGGATGCCTGAGGGAAAACCAGGGTAGTCATAGAGCGCTGCTTTTCTCTGTGATGGGATGTGTTTGCACTGCCTGCACTGGTGTTTCCCACCTCATGTGGCCACTGCTTTCTCCAGTACAAACACATTCCTACCTCTGCAGGTGTTCTGTGAGCTGTGTGGTGTGGAATCCAGCCTGCAACTGCTTCTTTGGTAACCAGGAAATGGAAATCTTACAGACTTATCCGGTCTTCTTTATTTACTGTTCTTTTCCCATAGACCTACTTACAAATACAATCAGAGTATATGGAAAAAATGTATAATACTATACTAAGAAAATACCATTTCTTAATGTTTTTTGTTCATGACTTTTTTTTTTTAACTTGAGCAGAAATTCAGGCATTCAGATGTAAAGGTTTTATCTACCACAAAATTATAACATCAACATTCTTGCAGGATGAAATTTCTGCAAATTTAAGTATGATTGATCTAATTATTGAAATCCTTGTTAATGAATATACCCCTTAAGGAATTTTAATCTTAATGACAGACTATTTCTTTCTATTCTACAAATTTAATAATAGGAATAGTAGGATTTTAATTACTGGGAACAGAGTAACAGAAATGTTCAGTGTCATATTCTATCTAGAGAAATGCAATGTTTAACAATCTCATTCATTGCACTGGAAATTGCTTGTTTCTTTTTATCTTCTTTCTTTCACCAAGAAAACAATTGAAATATTGGAGAACATTAGTAGCTGATGGATTTGAAATTAGCTATGTGCTGGAAAATGTATCTGTCTCTCTAAAGAATGAAAGTCCATTGGACTTTCTATACTGATAAAGAAAGAATAGTGGTGTGGTGTACAATGCGTAAAGTCTTGTTTATTGGGCAACATGCAGAAATTCTAAACCTGAGCATGATCTGAAGCATTTTTTTTTGCTTCAGTTCATGTTTAAATGTTGATAGAGCCTTGCCATATGTAACACTTTTTACAGTCATAATCACAAGAGCCTCGTGGAAAAAACTGAATGTGTAATTCTGGAATTTCACTGGGGACTGTTCCTGTGTTTTATATTCTGGTTGCCTGTTCAAAATAATCCACATTTAAATAATTCCAGGAGGAACTGCCTGAGCGGAACAAAGACTAAATAGAGGTAATACTACATGAGAGAAATATTCTAATAATAATTTATTTGTACTCATGTTTAAATTGCAACCCACTGAGCAGAAACATGTGAATATCAAGGCCTGTTACCCTTGCTTCAAACTTTTCATTCATAACCAGGCTGCAATCTCTGGGAAGAGGAAATTTCCACAGTACCAAGGATCAGAATCTTTGGAACCGAGGGAAAAACTGTTAGGTCTTAGCTACAAGTCCTGGGTACATTTCATCTTATGGCCAATAGAGTAATTTTACATGCTGTAGTCAAGACTAGGTTAAAACTCCTGCCCTATATTCAGTATAATCTTCTTCATATCAAAGGTAAAGTCAACACAGTGGAAGTAAGAGCTGGAAAAACAAATCAGAGTTTGGCAAATTTACAGTGTTTATTCTGAGATATTTGTGAGCTGTTTGTTTCTTTGGCTTCATGATGGTTTGTTGATTATTTTTTAAAGAGAAAGTTAATCTATAATTTAAAGATGGGCAGGTAACTGATGCTTTTCTTTGAGTGCAGATATTAAAGTACTAAAGAAATTACATCTTCCAAACTAACTCATTGCTAAAAGTTAGAATAATTCATGCTTAAATTTCTCATAAACTTTTAAAAAGTGTCCTTGGACTGGCTATCAAAGAACATTTGAAAATCTATTTAGACATGTTTTCAATATATTTAAAAATATTTTAGGTAATTATTACCTGAATGTAATATATAAAACAGTTAGAAATGAACTAATATAAATAGTTAAAACCAGAGCCAAAATAGCTTCCTAGATCTACTTCAGATCTGAACATAAAATGAACTGTTTTTCTTAAACAGTACCCCCAAACAGTCTTTCTTTTTTATTATCCTCTTCCAGCATGCCTGTTTTTCTTCTGATAGTTGTTTAGATTTTTTTCCTTTCTATGGATTATGGTTTTTTCCCTTTTTTTGGTGTTTTGGATTGGCAATTTTGATACTGCTGTAGTCAGATTTGAACTGGCTAACTTTCCTGGGTGGATTATAAAAGAAATCATTTCTCTGCTATGCCATTGTCTTTGATGCAGTTCCACAATTTATGGAAAAGAGAAAAAAAATCTCAATAAATTGCACTTTTTGCATGTCAGCCAGAAGAGGGAGCCAATATAAACCCAATGGCAGTCAATGAACAGCTTTCAGTTGATATAAAAAAATGTTTACACATCGGAAGGAGGCTTCATACGGTGTTTTATAGTCTGTACTGAATTATACATAAATTTTAAGGGGAACAGATGCTAAAACATAGGAATCACTCCTCTAATTCAGTAACCTTGTTCCAATGGAGGCCAATACCAGATTGTTTAGATGAAGAAATGCATGTTTGTGCTAGAAGTAGTAGGGATAGATCTTTATTCTCCACTGAAATGTTTATGGTGGAAACGACAACTTTTTTTTAGGATACAATGTAAAAATGGTAAATATTCCAGTTACAAAGGACTACTCCTCCAAAGCATTCTATATAAATGCAAAAAAAAAAAAAAAAAAAGAAGAGTAACTTCTAGTGTTTATATCCTGAAATTTAAAAAGTCTTAATCTAGGTAATATAAAAGGAGATTTTTCTGGTTGTCATCTAAATACATACTCCTTTCCTCATCTTCCCATGTTTTTATACCTTGACAATAATACTTTTGTATTGTTAGAAAGAAAAAAAAAGTTGCTTTTGTCCTTTTCCTTATGCTTTGGGATAGGTATGAACACTTGATTGACCAATAATCTACAGGAGTTATTTGTTTGTTTTTGGTTTTTTGTTAAATCAAGTGCTATCCTAGGTTTTCACTTGCAAAACAAGTGTCTTTAGGTTTGACTTCTCCAAAATTCTGTATGCTACTGCAGCTTTAGACACTGTGCTTCTGCTCTGACACTGTATCAAAGGAAAACTCCTTCTTGTCTTCAGTCACTTTTTTAATGCTCACATGTAAAGGAATTTAAATCAACTTATAGTGTTCCAGAGGTCAGCCTATTATATGTAGTGATTTGGAGCTTTTACAGTATGTTTGGAATACTTGTGTATGAAACTGGGAGTCATAATAGCAATGATTAGCTGAGCACTGAGGAACAAATATTTTAGAAGGTTTAAGTGGCCAAGGAAAGGTACTCTTCTTAGCCCTCTGCCACTCATGGATAGGGTTGTGAGCAAAGCATCAGTCCCAAGGAGCCTTAGAGATGCCTCTCTTTCTCTCAAGGAGCAGTGAAGGGTGTCCAGGAGCAGAGGCACCTTGATAAGAAAAAGAGCAGCAGCATTACTTTGCTAGAATATTCTGAGGTGAATCTGTTTGGCTGAGTGGTAGGAATAGAAGGCCTGTCTAATTCAGGTGGAACTGACTTCATTTTTGCAGTTGTCTATCTTAGTTGTGCATATTGTAGTATTCAGTATTTTCCCAGTTGTGGTATATAAATCATGCCATAATAAATAGATCTTCACTGGTCTGAGGACCCAAATTGTATTCTTTGTTATTTTTAGTTGAAAATTTGACAGTGAAGGACATCAGAAGGTCTGTGAGATTTTCATAGTGGTCCATGGTCTAGAAAGTTCGAAAACCACTGGTGCATCTTTTATTGCAAAGACTTTATGTAAAATATTTTTTCGAACTTTGTGTCATCCAGCTAAAAAAAAATAAATCCAACAATACTGTTCAGAATAAAGCAGTTAAGTCTATTCAATGTGATATTTTAATTGTGTAGGGAAAAAAAAGGGCAAAATATCTACAAGTGTATTTGGGAAATCATCATCATGGCTAGGCTTTGTGAACAAAGATTTGGGAAGGGCTCTACCCACACTTGCTACAAGTGTGCTGGTGGCTAAAAAGGCCAATGCGAGATAGGCACGACTGGTTGCAAAAGGCACAGCAGAAAGACACTTTGGATGGTATCGACAAGACACGATTCTTTCTGTGTTGTCTTTTCTCCTCAAGAGTGATCCTGCGTGCGTTCTCAAAAGAAGCAGCAGCGTTATAGATGGTGTGTCTCCAGACCTCCCGATTGGAGACCAGAGTAGACCAGTGATGATGATGTATTTGGGAAGTATAAGGTGCTTAAAAGTAAAGGAATTTCTATTACCACAAAAACAGAAGTCTGAGTCCGATAATATATGTCTCATTATAACAGGTATCTTTGTAGCACTGTTACTTTTTCTTTATGGTTCAGAGACATCTCAGTTGTTTTCCCTTTGCTTTCAGAAACATTTTCTTTAGGTAAAACAAACAACCAAACAATAGAAATAACCTTTCTTTGCTGTAATTGGAGGACTGAAAATGGAAGGATGTAGAAGTTAAGGTGAGCACCTGCAAGCTTGTGGCTTCAAGTGATTTTTGCCTTTTTCTCCCCAAACCAATTCTTCTTGATATGCAATAAAGAACCTTCTGTCATGAAGACAGTAGGTTGGGTTTTTTTTTGGTACCTAAAACTGCCTGGCTTGGGGTGAAGGTTTACATCTTGGAGGCTGACTGAGACTGACATTAGGTTTTCTCTTTGAGATGTCTATGAGTGGCATCATCTTCATCATTCATGATCCATTGGTTGAGTTTTGAGTTCCACAGCACTTTTAAAATGTTATGGAAATGGCTTACTCTTAGTAAGTAGATTCAGAGGAGTGCAGCTGTTGGTTCATTTTTAGGGACATTTATCAGGGCCAGTGAGACAAAATGTATTTGGTGTGGCAAGGTCAAGTGTTGCCACATGCAGATCTTCATGTAGAGATAATCTTAAATGCTGCTTTGTCTGTGAGCATGATTTATTCATTATCTTAATCAATGCATGACTGGGCAGGAGGAATACACAACTGCATTGTGGAAAGACAGAATGCCGTCCTATTAAGAGACACTTAATCTTGGATTGAATCCTAAACGTATGGATAATGAAGGAATGTGAGACCAAAAAATCTGTCAAGTGACTGAGGAGACATTGGGATCTTGATTTAAATCGCCTGTGTGACTTCTGCCCTTTGTGCCAGGCTGAGAAATACGAGAATGTGCTTTTGAGGGAGCATAGCTCCATTTGTATTTGTCCAATTAAAACCCTGCATCTTCTTGCCATTACATGTTATCAAATATGATTTTATTCTTATTATGAACTAAATTGTGAGTAAATTTCATGCCGCATGGTTAGGTCACTTCAATTCCTTTCTTCTTGCTCCTTTGTAATGCAGCATAATTAGATATGCTGTTAAATCCTGGTAATTATTAATTTTTTTAACTTCTGCATGGTGACACAATATTCAATGTTTTGCACACTTTCACTAAAAGAAAAAGCTTCTTGTCCTTACACTAGACAGACGCATAGGTGCTCGATTTATGGCTACAGGAAATTTCTTTTCTGGTAGTAGTAATGACTGACCTTATTCAATACAATAAAATAGTGCATTTTAATTTAGTGTGCACTGAAGGAATAAATGTATGTGAAAATGTGATGTCTTGAATGTGTCAGTGTTTTATGCCAGCTTGTTACATATTTTTTTTCTCCATTTGCTCAGATATGTGCTTGAGAAAAATTGACATCAAAAAGGAGCAACCATAGGTGATTCTTCATTTTATCCAACCTTTGACTTTCCTGGCTTTATAGAAATGTTGAAGTGTTCCTAATCCAAGAGATCTACTTAGCACAGTTCAATCATTGTAATAGTGAAATTAGTGTAAGTTAAAGCTGTTCATATTGGATGAAAAGTGAGGATGGAAAGTGGGGAATAAATATTAATACAAATGTAAGGGATCTTTTTTTTCTCAGTATAACCCCATCCGCAGCTGCACTGGAGTTGACAGGAGCTGATGGAACCTCTATGGAGAATACCAAAGTGCATCTTGGTGCCTGCCTGTAAGGGGGACTGTTTTCTTGCCACTGACTGTTTTTTGGGGACTTCCCAATAGCTGTGTTTTCACAGCCTGTCTGAACTGGAGTAGAATCACACCTGTGCCTAAAGTGGCCCAGCTCTGTTCCATGTGCCAGAAAGTCTCTTAGTGTCACTGGTATGCTGATATTTGATTACTGAGCTGAACTTGACCATTTTCATGCCCTCAGTTTCTTCCCTTCTCCTGGGTTACTGCTTAACCAGACCCATCTCCCAGCCTGGCTCAGTACACTGCCATGTGGACACCTACCCTGGCTTGGGAAAGGAGATGGTGCATATGACTAGTTTGGCAGGATGAAGACTCAGGCAGGTTAGAAGGCTGGAGTATGGCTAAATGTGTTTAATGGTTCTTGCACAAGTTTTATTTCCACATCTGATATAAACTACTAAAATAAAATCTTGCTTAAGACAGTAGTTACAACATCCACGTTTCAGGAATAATACAGCGGTAAGGAAAAGTATTTCTATGTACTTGTTGATACATATGCTGTATTTTAAAGGCTAGTGTCCAGACTGTTTCTTGTGGTGGTCTAGGGAGCCAGTTTTAAGCTGAAGGGAGGAATGAAGGGGAAAATGAAGAAAAGAGTTTTATGTCCTAAAATACTGCTGATAGGGAAAATAGTGAATGTACCTTCTAATGTGTAAATAGAGCGTGTTCTGGTCAAAAGGGGAAACATCTCTGTTGCCTGAAGGAAGTTTCTGGCTTACTAAGTCAGGCAGTCAATAGAAAGGAAAATAGCTACTTGTATAGGGTAGTTCAGAGCAGGAACCTAATTTAGCCACTCTGTGTTTCTCTGTGAGGAAGCCTGTGTCTCTCCATTCGCCACCTGGTGAGCCTAAGACAATTATCCTCCTTGGGCTAATGCTGGCCTCTGTGAATTCCCCTTGGCTTTCAAAACCACATGCTGGATGACCAATCTGTCCTACTGAGAGTGAATTAGTTATAGGGTGGGTGTCATCTGCTTGTTCCATCCAGGGCAGAAATAATACCAGTAGGAAGAAGGGGGTTTAATCTTTCAGGTGCACTTGAATAAAGAATCTGTTATTTAAAAGTGTAATGCCTAGTTTTGTCAAGCTGTTGCCTTTTGGTTAGTAAAGGCATTTTTGACTGATGGAGAATCGTTTTATTTGGTATTTATCCTTTTCCTTTTTTATTTGGTGTTTTCTGCAGCACACTAAGGAGATTAAGTGGAGAGGTGCTTTTTCAAGCTGCCAGCAGTCTCCTTGTGACTAGCAATAAAAAGTTAAATGCTACTGGATTTTTTTTCTATTCCTTCAATCCATTTTGCATGCTGTCTAAACTCAGACTTTTCAGGCATACTTTGTGTTTGTATGAAAAGTGCTAGAAACTTGTCTTAATTAATTATATCCAGCATTTGTAGGCTACCAGAGGTTCACTTGAACTTTCTGTTTAGAGCATTTAGTGTGCGGAAGGCATCAAACTGCAATTAAAACAATTTCTGTAGGCATCTGTGGATTGTTAAGGTTACACACTGTTCGTGGCATCTCCTGAGTAAGAGCTAGTTATGCTGGGAAGCCTAATGGGAAGAAAATCTCGGTACATGTTTTTTCCCTCTGTGTGTGCTTGATTGACTGTGGGAAGCTGGAGGAGAAGAGGTAGGAAAGGGCACTAGAAACACTTTCACAATTGGCTCTCCCTATTCTCCAGACTTTAACAGATATTTTTTTTTGTAAGGATTTTTTTGTAAGCTGTAAGGATTTCCAACAAAAATACTGTTTAGAGTATAAAACTGCCTGCTTGTCTCCCCAGGACACAAAGCCTCCAATTATGCTGTTTAATTAGTGTTTTATTGGTCTCTCTGAGAGGATGCAGATTTGCTGGTTTGTATCTGTCTGGGTTCACCTGGCCAGAAACTTGCAGGGATATGCAGGAAACAGAAATCTTCAATTTGCAGCAGATGTGGTGGGGAGCAGCCTCTGAATAAAGAACAAGTCTGTCACATCCCAAAAGAGCTGTCCATGTGCTTTGTAATTTATCTGGAAACCCCAGCCCAAGAACACGAATCCTTAAATGCCCCATAGATAAAATTCCTGTACACAAAAAGGATGCTGTGTATGGGAATATGCAGGAAAATGGTAGTTCTTAAATGAGTAAACTGTTCCCAAGATGAATCAAGTGTAAGCATCTTAAGGTCTCATTAAACCACCAGTGATTTTTTTTTTTGTTTAGGTGGGTTTTTGTTTGGTTGGTTTAGGGGTTTTTTGTTGGTTTTTGGTTAGTTGGTTTTTTTATGGCTTTGTGGTTTTTTTTTATTTTTTTTGTGTTAATTTGATTATAGCTTTTAAAAAGTGTTGGATGTTTTGGTATTTCTTTTATATCATTCAGTTACTAAAAAAGTTGAAGCTGTGAGATATGGTTTACTTATATGGTACAGAGGACTTTGTTCTGCATGATAGCTTTCACAGTAACAGAATCAGAAAAAGAGAGATTGTTCTTTTATAAATTAATAATTTTCTGTAGCTAATCATATTATTTGAAGATACAGTATACAGAAATAAAACAAATCTAATTGTTTGAATATTTCTGTTCTTATGATGATTTATCTCTGCATTTAGTGAACAGAATTTGTATAAAATCACAGTCTTTATGTTTCTTTTTCATGGCGCAGACTTAACAGGTAAGATTTCCACTTGAATCAGTGAAATTTCGTCTTCTGTTTTCATTTAGAAAGTCACTGATGCAAAACACTGGTATTTTTGTTCTGTTGTAGTTGTTCTCCAACATTAAAGATGGCGAAGGGTTACAGTTGTTCGAGCAAGGCCATCGCACTGCCCACAAGCAAGAGTGTCACACCATGGAGGCAGTGAGGCTGGTGGAGTTCAACCTGAAGCAAGTGCTCACAAAGCTCATGACTCACATCTTTGGTGACGGTAGGTTCTCCTGGACTGCTCCAGGTGGCTGTAGTTGCTTGGGCTGTGGAGACACATTTTGCTGTATAAATACAAACAGGAGGCTTAGGGGTGATGTTGACAGTTGGAATACAGAATTTTTTAAAAAAATGATTATTTTCAAGAGGCCACACACTCCTTTCTTGGTTCTCCTAAATACCGGTGCACACAACACTGTGTTGAATCATCAGGTTTTTTGTGAAAATGTTCTGGTATGCAGCATGTCAGGGTAATGCAGTGGGCATGAATACAGATGGGGGCACATGCCAGACACAACTACGAACACTCGTCGAGCAGAAGCAGGGTGTTAGAGTAAAAGTGGCGGACCTGTCAGTGTGGGACCTGCGAGGAGAGGCAACTCTAGCTCCAGTGCAAAACTGTGCAGGACCCCCTTTGCTTTGTCTTCATAAGCCTCCCATGTCCCCAGAGGGACAGGGAATGGGTGCACCGTCGCATCTGGGGGTGCGTGAGAGCTTGAGTGCTGCTGGGGAGAGTGCAGGGCAATTTTCACTTCTCACCAGCAGCATGGAGATGGACAGGACCAGGGAAGGGGTATGTATGTGCACATGCTGCTTTGCTGTGTACACACACAAAGCGCCTTGAGCGTTTCCCATGTGCAAATGAATTAAACCTTGCAGCTGAGGGGAGACGGTGTTTGCTAAGTTCATGCCAAGCTGAAAAATACTTGTCTTTTGGTACTTACAGTGGGATGAGGAAAGGTAATGAATATGTATATGAATGAAATATTCTCTCCTCAGAAATACCTGCTTTCAGTTTCAGGAACAGAATTTATAAATGGCCTGAGTCAAAATTGCTACATTAATGCTATTTCCTTGGCAAGGAGGCTGCTATTCTGAGCTGATTCATTTTTCTGTTGAGGAAATACTGGATGGTATTAGAATGTATCTTGCCTACTTTCAAAGGTCTTTTAAGATGCTTACTGCACTTAGAGCAGTATTTCCAAGAGTGGATTGATAATGGTACCAAGTCCTATATATGATTTTTTGAATATTTTTCTGGTTTTCTATTCCACCTGAACAAAAATTTTTAAGTTCTTCAGTTCAGAGTTTCTTGTGGGTGTATTTTACTGAACAGTGGTCTTTTGAAACATACAAGATTAGGATCAAAGTGAGTAATAGTAAGACTGATATTTTTAGATCAACCTCAGATGCTGGGGATGTTGTTTAAAGTGAACAATTTCTAGGAGTTATTAGTGATATCTCAGGCTGCAGTTTCATCCTTCTCTAACTGTTGACAGAGGCTACACTTTAAGCTTCAACATGCTGGCAGTTCTTCTGCAGTCCACACAGTAGTTAGAAAGAAATTAAAAATATATTAATAAATTATTTTAAACATACAGACTAAAAATAGATACCACCTTCTTACTGTAGGGATTTTCCATTTCTATACCAGCTGTATTTTTCCTGAAATGGAAAGACAAGATATAGTTAGTGATTAAAATGAAATTATATATATATATCTATATTTGCCCCCCACATTTCATGGAAATACTTGAATATAGTATTCAGAGAACAAACTTCATTTTAGACATTAGGTGTATGAGATCGGTGCACTGCAAGTTCTTGGGACACACATAAATAAATTTCTCTTTTGACTACTGTCATCTTTTAACTTCTGTTTTACTCTTGACACAATACTTTTGATAACTTTTTTTTGTCTCAACACCTGTAAATTTTAACTTAATTTTAAAATGTGTTTTACTGTGTCTATTGCTCTTGGGAAATTTCTGTATTTTTCCTTTGTGTGGGCATTCCATAGGACCTAATGTTGTGTTAAAAGCAAAAATTTCATTCCTTTTATACTTCACATTAGTTGTATTCTTTACAGGCTGTGCTGTCAGCAGAATATTGTAGTGAAGTTGCACATCTTTTCTAGCAGGACAGCATGACCATCGCTGCAGTGAGCTATTGAAATGTTACGTTATCACACAGTCAATGGTTACTCATAGGCAGATTGTTTGGACTGTAGATTGTTTGCTGTGCAAGTTAATTTTGCATAAACTAGCTTGTGCCCTGAAATCCTGGAAATTGGATAGTTGTGTTTCTGCAGTACTTCTCTGGGAATTTACCATATCAGATTGATGACAGATTGAGGATCCCTGCAGGATCTCTGCAGAAAGGTCAGATCACTGACCTGACCTTTTTTTTTTTTCCAGTGTTTTTTCCTCTACATTGTTCTAGGTTAGTTTTCATAATATTTAATGAGACAGTTTTGCTTTACCTGACTCTTTACCTACACTTATAGCAAAAGTTTGTCTTTTTATTTCTTTCTGGCTTTGACAACAGACTAAGGAATTACTTAGATATTAGATGGAGGGGGAAAGATCTGGATCATGCAAGGAACTGTCTTAAATACTTCACAGTGCAAGACAGTTCTATTTATGAGATTTTCTAGTGGTATGCCATGTCTGATTTTGCATTCTACAAGTAATTATCTTTAGTTTTTTTCATGAGATTATGATATCAGGAAGCTATTTCAAATACTACACCTAGATATCACATTCTTAGTTTTCCTTCATTACCTCTAGGTAAGGTGCACACTTGAAATCCAGTAATTTAACTTACACCTCCATCTCCCCTACAGATTATCAGTGTAGGAATTCTGTTATATCTCATTTAAGTTACCTTGTAATCAGGCTTTCCAAGATAAACTGTCTTAGGTTTCTCTATAAAGTTAGTTAGTCCTTCTCAACTACAGTTCTTTCTGTAACCCTTCCATAATTTGTCAAAAGCTTTCTGGAGCCTGAGAGATTCAGAAATAATCTTACTATAGCAAATAGAAAAGAATGATTGTGTGTTACTTCTGTAATTTGTTGCTTTACATGAAATGGCTCAAAATTCACTGCTGTCCCATATTCATCTACCCAGTTTCTAGGCACTGGTAAGGGGAGGCAGAAGAGTGGGTGATGCTGTGCTTTGACTGATGGCTTTCTTTGCTGCTCCTGGTTTTCACTTAACAGCCACTGGATGTCTTTTAAATCAAACATGTTGTTCTGCTCTTTCTTCTTTTTAACTCTGTTGTACTGATACCTCCTTTGAGTACATGGAGATCTGTAGGTGTAAGGAGTCTAAAAAGAAAGAAAAAAAAACCATTTACTGAGTACATAATGGTCTGGCAGATAACTTCTGAAAAATGTGAGCTAATGTAGGTTTATGGGCAGCCAGCTCCTGTCTGCTGCAAGTGTGATGAATTATCTGCAACAACGAGGTGCAGAGTAGTTACAAATTGACGCTCACCTCAAGAGGCCGCAGTTCGATACCTTCTGTGCTTCCCAGCGCCCACCCTGTGCCCCTCTCCTTTTTCTCCCATAACCTCATGTCTAAAAATAATCCTCACAGGAACAAAGAGAATTTCTGGTCAGTGAAGACCATCTGGGTCCCAGGCTTTGTTGCTTCTGTGCTGTAGTGTAGCAATAGGCTGCTTTAATGTGTTTGGTTTGTTCTTTTCTCTTTTCTTTCTTTTTCAGTGCCTTTGGTCAAGCCTTTTTCATTACGAGACTCAATTAGGCTAGCACTTGTTTAGCTTAATATCTGATAACACCATTACTCTTCAGTGCAGGCTATGACCAGGTCCTTACCTTGATTCAGTGTTCAGAAATAACAATAAATATTCACTATTTCCATACTTATTGGAGATGTGACATGTAAGTTGCTGTGTTGGGTTTGCATGGCAAGGTTTTGGTAGCAGGGCAGCTACAGGAATGGCTTCTGTGAGAAGCTGCCAGAATTTTCCCTCGTGTACAACAGAGTCAGTGCCAGCCATCTCCAGGACAGACCCACTGCTGACCAAGGCTGAACCAGTCACGAACGGTGGTAGTGCCTCTGGGATAACACATTTTAAAAGAGGGGAAAAAAACCCTGCACAAATGCAGCCAGAGAGAGGAATGCGAACATGTGCAAGAAACAGCCCTGCGGACGCCAAGGTCAGTGGAGAAGGAGGGGCAGGAGGTGCTCCAGGCACCAGAGCAGAGATTTCCCTGCAGCCCGTGGAGCAGACCATGGTAAGGCAGCTGTGCCCCTGCAGCCCATGGAGGCCCATGGGGGAGAGATCCACCTGCAGGCCCTGGAGAACACCATACTGGAGCAGGTGGATGCCCAGAGAAGACTTGTGACCCCATGGGAAGACCATGATGGAGCAGATTCCTGGAAGGACCTGTGGCCCTGTGGAGAGAGGAGCCCATGCTGGAGCAGGTTTGCTGGCAGGACTTGTGACCCTGTGAGAGACCCATGCTGGATCAGCCTGTTCCTGAAGGACTGCACCCTGTGGAAGGGATCTGCACTGGTGCAATTCATGAAGGACTGTCTTCTGTGGGAGTGACCCCAGCTGGAGCAGGGAAAGAGCAGCAGAGAAAAGGAGTGACGAACTGACCGCAGCCCCCATTCCCTGTTCCCACTGCTGGCAGGGACGAGGTAGAGAATTCAGGAGTGAAATTGAGCCTGAAAGAAAGGATGGGTGGGGGGAAGGCGTTTTTAAGATTTAGTTTTTATTTCCCATTATCCTACTCTGATTTGATTGTAATAAACTAATTTCCCCAAGTCGAGTCTGGTTTACCCGTGACTAAGCAGTGAGTGATCTCTCCCTGCCCTTATCTCAACCCAGGAGCCTTTCGTTGTGTTTTCTCTCCCCTGTCCAGCTGAGGAGGGAAGTGATAGAGTAGCTTTGGTGGGCACCTGGCATTCAGCCAGGGTCAACCCACCACAGTTACTAGTGGACATGTGCCTACTGGAAGGAGTCCCGTGAACACTTTTAGGCTCTGAAACGAGTGGGTGTCCTCTGGTGACACAAGTAATTTCTTTGAACTGGAGAAGTTGCTGAATTTGTATCTAGTGGTCAGTCTCTGGTTAGATTCAGCATTGTACTCTGTGTCACGCATCTCTTGGCCTTCTAAAATTTCTTGAAAAAGATCAATTTTTGCCAGCATGTCATAGGCTGTATATGAAGAAATAAATTAGACCTAATCAGTTAAATTATACAGTACTACAGAAAGCCTAATCTTCATAATCCTTAAGTCCTTAGTGGTCTAATTTGCTCAGTATGAGCAATGCCCTTTATTCCTTGGGAATATATTGAGCACCAAGACAATATTTCGTATCTAAATAATAAATGTACCCATTTATTCTGTGACAGTCTATAGAAATGCGGTTAGAAGGCTTAATCTTGCCGAAGGCTGAGCACCCTCAGCATTTCAGTAAAGTCTTCTAGAGCCAAAAGTCTGAAAGAACACTCGAATATAAACTACAAAGGTATTCCCAATTGGCCGTGATACTGTATGAATAAAATTATTGTGGTATATGGGATTAACTATTAATTTAGAGAACAGAATGAAGGTGAGAGTTGTTTCTTCATTGTGAATTTGTTTTGGTTTATTCAGATTTTTGTTTGTTTGCTTATTCGCATTTAAAACAAAAGCCTCTTAAGTACTAATAAGCATTAAAATGCAAAAATAAAAAAGAGCTTTAAATTCTTTTTTTATCTCTTAAAATTTATTTTAATTAAGAACAAACAGCTGAGAAATCCCTTTTTTTCCCAAATCTTCATTTCGAAGTAATAAGAGGATTAAAAAGAAACCATTATCTGAATGTTGTTATTGAACATAAAACTACTTGAATATTCAGTGTCTTTGCTACAGTTCCAAATTTTGCAAGCTAAATGAAAATATTTTATATGCGTATGGCTTTACATTGTATGCAGGATTGTACAGCCCTAGAATTAAAAATGCCAAGATCAGGAAATTAAAAAAATGTTTTCTGCATACCATACTGTTATATACACATAACTCTTTTGATCTATGTATTTTTTATTGTTATGCAGGAAAAAAAACAATAAAATGATTGCTAAAATCACAGTACAATGGTGAATGGTCTGATTGCAAATACTTCCAGTTTTCGGAGTTCTGTGTGTAAAATTGTCAAAAAGCTTTTTTATCTTTCATATGATTTCCTTAGGTTAATTTTTAAGAAAGAAAAGAAAACCTAGCAGTACCAGTGTATTTATCTTTAAACCTCCCTCACCACTTGAAAGTTCATAACATCTAGAAAAGTTCCCTGTAACTATTCAGTATTTTATATTTTGGTCATGCATGTACTTTTGTTGTAGCTTATTTTTTCAGTTTCTGTAGCCACATTTGATGTTTCAAAAGTAGTCAAAGAAAATCTAATCCTTGAGGCTACGTAAAATATTTTTATTTGAAAAACTTTCAGTATAAATCATGCGATTTGACGTTTCACATTCCTTTTATGAAATGACGCAAAAAAAGCCTAAAAATCAAACCAGGAATGTTAACAGGTACTGTCACTCAAACAACTTTTGCTGTGCCCCTTATTTTCAAAACTGGACTTGCCTGGTTCTTAATGATCCTAATACTGATTAGTATTTGGCTTAACTGAAGGGAAGATGGGCTTGGGGTTAAGGCATTAGCTTACAGATTTTGCACTTCAGTTCTGTTTTGTGTTTTTGTAGTTCATGTTTCTGAGACTTCTTTCCTGACACCTAATAGCTAGAAAAAATTATTTAGTGAAACAAAGCCTCTGTAAATCATTAGAAGAACTAAGGCTCATCAAATATAATGAGGGCCTTGACAACCACTCTGCTTTTGGCAGCAGTGTAGACCTTGTCCTCTTCTGGCTCTTCTGCTCTGAGATGCCGGGAATTTCCTCACTCTGCGCAGTGGCATTTGCAGAGGTGCTAAGGTGGGGAGGAGGATGAGGAGTAACCCAGTGCTGCTTTTCTCTTAGACTTATCCGTTGGGTCCAGAATGCTCTGTGTGTGTTGCATACCTTAATAGTGTACAACTCTGTGCATATATATTTCTATTTGAGTATATTAATATCTATTTTTAACTTTCATATTTAAACCTATACAGAGAGAACAGCTCTGTATTTTAATTAGGTTCTGATGAAAAAAAATTACTTGCCTAGACAATCCACGAAATAGTAAAAATTAAAGACTTTCCTGTAAGAAGCAGTTAGTAATTTCTTGGTGCAAAGAATAACAACAGAATTACTGACTTTCCCATGATCTTGGCTCACTTTTGTTCCATGCCAGGTGGTTGCTAGAGTTTGACAAATGATTGATTTGGTTTCAGAGGGTGTTTGAATTGCACAAAGCATTTTTCATATTAGAAAAGACATGGTCATTTTTTTCCACAGGTTTTAAGATTATCGCCTTGCATGACTCTTGTAAATTAGTTTGTTTGCTATTTATTTTCTCTGGATTGCTGTAATTGATGTCATTAGTTGAAGGGCAAGTTTTACAGATGGTTGGAGGGATGGCCTTTAAAGCATACACCCTTTAATATTTATTTATTTATTTAAACACTGCTACAGGACTACAAGTCAGATGGGTAGATTGCTACTTTCCATTTACTCACCCTTCCTTTGAGATGGAGATCAACTTCCAAGGAGAATGGATGGAGGTCCTGGGCTGCGGGGTCATGGAGCAACAGCTTGTTAACTCAGGTACTGAAACTCCTTTCCTTCATTGACATCTCTGTTAGCAAACATTTCCAGAGCAATCAGCTTCACAGTCTGAAATGTCCCCTTCTACCCTGGTGAGCGCAGACGTATCCCTCAGGTGGAACGCAGCCCTTGCATGCTGTGATTTGAGAGTAACAGCTGAGCAAGTGATCTGGAGCCTGCAAACAGAAAGCTTGCCTTTTATTTTGTACAGTAAGGAGACAGACAGATGTCAGCTTTAAAAGAGAACCTGCAAATTAGACTGTGAGGTTTGTTTTTCTTTTCCAAGAGGTGTCAAGTGCATTCATAGTTATGATTTTAAAGTATCATTAGCAAATAACATCCCCTATTATTTGGAATATCAAAGTGCTCCTGTGTCTCTAAAGTATAGAAAGAGGAATGTGCTATTTTTCATATTGCTATTTGGTCACTGGGTAAATGGTAGGTAGATTTTTGCCTTTGTTTTGTTTCCCTTCTCCTTGATTTAGTTATTTATGAAGTTGCAAACTGCATTAAGAGCACATCATTTATTCCAATTGAAATTATTACACAGAAATTTCACCTGACAATTTTGCTTTGTAAAATTTATAAGTATGGAAGAAGGAGAGGAGAAACTGGTGGATTTTTTTATGTCTAAATGGAAAATTTTGCATGCTTGCTTTTTCATTTGCTGAGAATAGGTAATTCTTCGTTAGCGTAGGACAGACTGCGTGTGTTCAGACCTTTGTCATTCAGTATCTTCCAGTACTATTTATTATGTACAGAAGACTTTTGGAATATGATTTGAAAGCAAGTATGCTTTCAGATAGCCAAGTTAATACTCAGTTGAATTTTTTGCCATTGGTTTGTTAAGCTATTGTTGTATTTTCATATGGTCTAAATTCCTCCTGTTGAAATCCAAGTATGATAACTATGAATTGCTTAATTTTGGCGCCAGTTACTTGACACAGCTTGTTTTCCTCAAAGTTCACATGTATTTTAATGTGATCATTTTCCTTTTAAAAAGATATCCTCTTCCAGAGTTTCTCTCCAATGAATTAATGATTTATGCTAATGTTCTTTCTCAGATTATTTTCATGGTGTGGTAAATATAATATAGAGCTTCTAATGAGCCTTAGAAGTGAAAGACTGCTGTGTAATATTGTTTCCATCAGATGTAACAGACCAGTGTCCAGACTTTCTTCTTGAAAAGCTTTTATGTTGCTCAATTCTTAAGTTTAGGTTCTTTTAATAGATGAAAGAAGAGCTAAGCTGTGACCTCAAAGCAATGACTGTTTACATTTGTGTGTGTGTATGTGAATGGATGTACACAAAACACAAGTTGTTTCTACAGCAGTTTTTTTTTGGTAACTTTATTGTGTGGGGACTTCAATAGCACTTTCTCACCCTTGAAATTTCACATTATTAAGATGTTAACACAGATCAAGATTTACCAAGGGAGGTACAACCAGCCTCATTCTTGTCATTTCACTGGGCAGTGGGAATGATCCAGTCTTCTGGACCATTCAGATTTTCCATGTTAACAGCAAACAAGGTTTCTGTTGTCTTGGTGTGTAGATGAGCAAATACTAAAGGCTGCAAATACCATTTCCACTAAAACCAATCCACTTATTGTTTTTTAACAGTTGTTTGCATTCAGGAAAGCCTCCTACAACAAATAAAATTGAGAATATGGTGTTATTTACTATGTTTTAACAGTGAAAGTTGCTATTTTAAAAGAAAAACATATACCTTATGACAGTGTTTTTATGTAATTGTTGAAAAAATATGAACTACTGCAAAGATGCACTGACTTGTCAGGAATGATGTTACATGTTCCCCAAAGTCTGATGGTGCTAAACTAGAGTAAGTATTCGGTATAAAGTGAACACAGAAGATAATTTTGATAATCAATTTTCACTAAGTATAAAATCTAGCTTATTGCACTGTTTAACTTCCCATTTTTGCGTGCTTTGTTTTTCGTCCTAAGCTATACCTAAATACGTAATTTTAATAGGAGTGCTATGTATAAATTTTGATGTAGGAAAAATTATTATTATTCTCATTAATACTGGTAAAAATACAGAAACTTTGCAGTATTGTAGGAAGTACTCTTAGTTTTAGGACCATGATGAGGATACAAGGAAATTTTGTGGTTCAATAGAGCTAATTTCAATTAACAGCACCCAAGGTATTTATTTCTGTACTTCAAGAGTTTGTTACCCAAGATTTGCAAAGCTGATGTTCATCGATAGGTGCTGAAGTTCCAAGTCTATATGGAGTTCTAAGGTTCAAACCTTTGAATACAGGCTGTTGCTTACTCGGAGGCTGTGATCACATAGTGTTGCTTAGTAACTGTGAAATTGAAAGCAGTTAGGGTGTGATCCTTTGCTGATGAAAATCAATGGCAATGTTCTCAGTGCTCAGCATTGCGGAATATGGTAGCTGGGGACGGAAGTGAGAAAATTGAACTAAAGTTTACCTCAAAACCATGAGACTAAAAACCAGATCATTTAAAACCAAACCAAACCAAAGCGCAAACAAACACTCCCTCTCCTGCAAAAAACCCGCAACTAACCAAACAAAACAAAAAAAAAGAGAATTCCTTAACTTTTTGGTAAAACTTCTCGTGATGTTTTTAACTCCGGAAGTATACCATAAAATAATGTAAGGGTGGCACACCAGATCCATCCAACGTCCAGGACATCCCTCTATCACGATGATGTTCCAAGCCAGTGCCTAAAGATGAGTAGAACAGGCATGGTTATGCTGATCCTTCCCTGATATGCTCCTTCAGCTACCTGTTTCCTGAGCTGAAAATGTTTGTTTTCAATAGTCATTGTGGAATATTCTTCCATTTCTTTGTCAAAATGTTTTTCGAATCCTAGTAAACCTTTACTCTATGCAGTGTCTTGTAGCAAGAAGTTGCATAACTTGCATGAGGAATTACTTTGGTTTTGTTCTGACCAGCAACTTAGAGTTACAGTTAGAGCTCTTCTGTCCTGCAAGAAGAGTCAGTGAATATGTTTCCTTTTACCTTGTTTAAGCCGCTCAGTATTTGTTTAGATCTCAGTTGTCACTGACCTCTTTTGAAGCCAAAGGGTGCTGGTCAGACAGTCCCTCCCGATGTGGGAGCCAATCCATATGTTCTGATAGTCATGATCACTCCTGCCTGCATCTTCTTGAGGCTTCTTTTTTCCTTTTCTGTTAATTCTTAATATTAATTTTCCTTGTTGACCTTTAATGAGCCTTGAGTCAAAAGAGAGAGGAGGTTTTGGTATGACTGCTGTAGATTGTTTTTGATCACTGGCTGGTGGTTGAAGCATCCTGGTACACAGCCAGCCATTCAGCTCTGGGTGGCAGCTCAGGTTGAGGTCTCATTTCCTAAAATTCTGAATCATGAAGGTTGCTGTATTTAGGCTACCAGTAAGAGGAATTGGTAAAACTTTCCTGCTGTATGTAGATTTTTCTACCTTCCACATCAGAATGAAACACTGATATTTACAGTCTTAAAAAACAAATTTATTTTATAAATATAACACATTTAAAATTTTTGCTTGTCAGTTTGAAAGGAGTAGGGAATGGTGTAGGGGTTTGGAAAAGGAAATGTCAGCTTTCCAGCTTGAATAGTAGGAGATGGCATGGCATTAGCAAGGAAACGAGCAGGCACTGGGCTTTCAGTGAGGCTATGAAGAGAGCTACTTGTCAACAGCTTACATACACTTACAGTTTTAAAAGTTGCTGGGTAGTCCTGGTTTCCCAATTGTGTGTAATATCCTGAATTTATAGCAAAGATAGTTTTCCTAGTCTCTTGTTAATTTTGTGAGTACTTCTGATGAAGAAAAAATTGCTAACCTTGTCTAAACATCTTCAGGAATACTGTTGAACACAGCAGGAGGAGTTTGTCATAACTTCTGAAAATCACTGCTTTTGTTTTAAAAGGTTGAAGTTTATTTGTCATGAAATCTGATTCTTGAAGTATAAGTCTTTGGAATCCCCTTTAACATATCAGATGCAGGACTTATTTCCAAAATTTGAATAGTGCTTGGCCCAGGGCTGCCACCTTCAGCCAAATAGAAGTCTTAACATGTAGAACTTGTTTGACTTCAATGCTGCAGTAAATAAATCTTTCTTTACTGATTTATTGAAGATCATCAAAATTGCCGTCTGATTTCTTTACTCATTTATTGAAGGACATCAATTGCTGTCTGAGGGGGGTAACAACTTTTAAGTTCTTAACTTGTCCACTCCTTCTTGGTTTTGGCAAAAGGATTATGAATTTGAATATTTCTCCATGGGCAGCAGGTTAGTAGTTAACTAAAAAATTATGTCAATGTTACTTTGCAGGCACAGAACTGTTTGGTTTTTTTTTTAAATTTATGAATATGTTCTTAAATCAAATATTCGTTATAGGTGAGTTAGGTTCATATATCAAGCAGCAGGGGGTGTTTTGGAGAAGGGGAAATGTAATATCTTTCATCTAGTTTTTTTTTTTTCCTGCTCAGCTCTTGCCTGGTAAATTACATTAAAATGTTTGAGCAGATGGTGCATGTGGCTTCAGTAGTATGCCGGCCCATGTTCTGTCTCTGCTAACAGCTCTCTGCGGGGACCTTGAAATAGTTAACGCTGTGTGTGTCTACATGGATATACTGTATAAGGGTAAATATAATGCATTTAAAATACATTCCTCAAACTCTTCAAGGTGAAATTAAAGTTGCAGCGGTATTGGTGTATTGGGCACCTGGGGCCTCCCAAGAACATGAGGTAAAGCTGTTGGATTGGCTCCTTCTTCCCACACGAACCTTCAAAGAGATTTAGCTATGCTGTGTAAGCTTCACAGCTCCCCATACCAAACCTCTCAGGGGTCATTTTAGGTCATTGTGTGTCTTCTATGCAACCACACTACCAAAGTACCTTGAATCTCCCAGCCTTTCCTCTGCTTATTTTCCTGAGACCATCATGAGCTAGGCAAGTGTCATCATTCCTCATTTATGGGCTGGAACTGAAGTGCATGGGAAGCTGAC